CCCCAAAACCCCAAAACCCCAAAACCCCATTAAACAAAAATAAGCTGATTATCGAAATTCAGTAAAATTTAGATCCAAGATAAGAGAAATTAATGCTTATATCACCTTTTATTACTTCTTATTTATAGAATTCAGTGCTTTTTAAAGCTAATTGATTTAGGTTCTCTGGTACCCATCATTTCTCTGTCATTACTCAGTGACTCACCATAGTCTTCATATTGCTCATTTTATTTCAAGCCAAATAAAAGTTCTAATATTTAAATTATTGAAATCAAAATTTTTACCATAGAGAATTGGGACCTTACCAGGCTGCTTACTTGGAGAAATAGAAAACTTTTTATGCAAATACTCCTTGTCAAAAGGCAGTTCATGAGGTTACCCAGATTCAGTCATAAGAACAGACATAGAATTATAATATCTGTTATACTCTAAATACTCTCTGATCATTTCATTTATGATTAGATTTTCATTGGATAGCTGAGGCTTTCCAGTATTTTCTGAATCTAAAGCAGTAAATACCTCTGCTCTTATCTTTGCTCTGATGTCATTTAGCACTCCCTTTGATTCTAAGGTTTCTTTCAAGATGTTTTTTAGGTCTTCTAGCGATGCCATTAAATTTGAATTTAAATATTTATAATTTGAAATTTATTAATCAATTAAAATTATCGGCGTCAAATAATTTACTTATTATTTATAGATTCATCATCATGCATGTAATTTTATTTAAGCAGAATTGACTCAACTTAGTTTTGTCCTGGCGAAGGTTTCTGAATTTATTGTGGCTATGCTTATTTCTACCTAATATTTCTCTCAGAAGTATTCATTGAGAAATCTTCATTTTACTCCAATAAATCTACAGATTAAGATTACTGGGCCTCAATCTAGTTGTTGGCAGAGGTATTAAAATTTTCACTCGAAGCATTATTGAATGTTTATACTCTCCTTATATTGTTGCTATTATTACTAGCATCACCTATATTGCTAGTACTCTAATTTTAGTCTTCAGCTTACCTGAAATTTGGGTAAGGTATAATTTATTGGCCTATATCTTGCTCTTCCTCCTAGAATTTTATGTTAAACTCAAAAGGATTATTCATATTCTCAAGTCCATTCAGTAGATTCAAGTCTGATCCGTGCTATTATTTGAATTCTATTTTGGGGAGTTTATCCTCTTAGGAATCTTGCCTACCTTTCTTGTTTGGAAATGCTTCATCATCTGCATTGTTGTATTAGGGAATCTCATAAGAATTCCTTACAGATGAGGTCATCCGTTTTGATAAGATCCTCATCAGGATCCTGGGGGATGAATTATCTTCTTCATTTTCTGACTCTTTAATCATGTTGTTGTCCATTGTATTAAATGCTGTGAAATCAGGTAAGACTTTTGGCTTTGATGTAGACTTAGCGCTCAATGGACTTTACTTTATTAAAAATTCAGGACTTTGATAAGTTATTGAATGCCTATGCTATCTTTCTTATTGAATTCTCAGATTAATCTGAGGTATATTTATGAAATGAGCCGATGCTATCGAATTTTAAGAGGAAGAATTAAGTTGATTTTCAATATCATGAGAACTTCCTTTTTTGAAAGAGTTGAGGTAAGATGAAACTTGGTTAATATTTTCTCTATCCTTTAATTTCTCCTCCTCGTTCTCAATTTCTTTCAAGTGTCTGCTACTCCTTTTTTCATCTTATCTATTCTACTCTTTGTCCATAAATTGTGGGATCTCTTCAAAATTGTCATGTCTCAAGTATTTAAATTCAGGCTTGATATTTGGACTGTGCAATTAAGGATCTTCCTCTTAAATTTAATCAATATCTTTGCGCAAGTAGGACTTTGGATCAATGTATTAATTATCGATTGACCTTGATCTAGGTTGAGGATTGCTTGATAATTAGTTCTTCATTCGTAATGCATCATCAACTATGTTTTAAATTGGAGACATATACCTGACCTGACTATTCATATCTTCTTCAAAATTTCTCTAATTCGACTACTGATCAGATTAGTTTGGATTAATACCCTAGAAGGTGTATTCACTTGCTGCACGGGATCCTTTATTGTTTGACTCCAAAGCCAAAGAGTCTCTAATACCAGAACTCGGCGATTTCTCTGAAGCTTATAGATTATGTGCTGATTGTTAATAATTTCTTCTAGCTCCAAAAGAACTTTAACTTTGGTTATCACGTCTTTAAACTAATGCATAATTATTTTCAGCTTCTTTATGAGCTCTGTCAGCTAATTACTTATAATCCATTAATTTGGTATTGCGACTTTCACCACTACTTCTATTTCGATTTTTGTCCCTAGATTTCTATTCACTTTTATGGGGTTTATATTGTAAGGTGTTGCCTTTTACAAAGGTATCTGGCATCCCTATTAAGTTATTATAGATGCTTGGAGTATAACCTAAAGTATGAGATATTTTTAATCTTTTCTCTCTTTAGCTGTACCAAAACTTGTCAAATATCCAATTTTATTGTTTTTCACCAGAATTGAAATGTAAAACTTACTACATGATTAATTTAGCTTCTTTTCTAGACTAGCCAGAGATTTAAGAGTAGTCTTAAACCTCGACATATTTAATACTTCTAGAGCTAAGAAATGCTCTAATAAATCTGTAATAAAAGCATTGAATAAATATTGCTATTAGTATTAGAAAAAGAGGAACTAGTATTATCCAGTATATATTCCTAAGTGAAAACTAATTTTACTATTCACTGCTTGTTTAAGATGGCTTTTATATAGATGTAGTTGTGTTTGATCGAACAGTAGAATTCGCTAATATATATGTTTCAGAATTTTCCCCTTGATTATTGGATTTTAAGTAAGAGTCGAACACAAGAAAAATAGTCGCTATGATCACAATTAGCATGAATAAGCAAAAGTACTTAAGAAGGGCTGAGAAAAATTAACCATTGCACAGTTCATCTTTTTTCAGATATAAACTATAAAACTAGCCACATTTTTCACAATAAATCTTTCAAGATCTCACTACCTTAGCAGTCATACAATAAATATGAACAGAAAGATCTAAGCATTTACAGGGAGAAACAAATTTATTAGAGATGTATAGTTTCTAAATGTATTCACGGCCTTCAGTTGAATCATTCAATAGATCCCTCAAAAATTAAGTTAATGCTTTACGAGGAACTGTTCGCATTAAATCATCGTTTTATATAACAAAAAATGGCTTGTCTCGATCACAGAGTTAGCAAATCTTTTCATTGATTTATACTGCTGATTTTGTATCATATACTAAGATTTAATTTTGCAGTGCTTCATTAGGTACTCTCAACATGGTACTTCGTCTTTAAAAGTTTAAACCATTTCCACTATTTCTCTTTTGATCGAGTACCTTCTTTTATTCCTTTAGTTTATTCTAATAATTATCAAACACAATTATGTTACCTTCTTCTTTCTTTTGAGCTTAAGGACTTACTTTTAGACTTCAAATACATCTAGACGGTTTTAAGATAATTGTTGTTCGCTCATCTTATTTTTTACTTATAGAGTAGAAATTTTTATAATTTTCTTCCATAGTCAACTATATAAACATTCTTAAACTTATATATTCTGCTTACTCGTGCTAGAATTTTAAAAATTCTATCAAATCTATGGATTTTATATTAATTCATTAAAATATATTGTTTCCATTAAATGAGCCCTCATCAATTTCATTTCATTATTTCTTCTCTTCCTGGCCTATTATCGCAGATTTATGGGGTTTTGGGGTTTTGGGGTTTTGGGG